CATCAGTTCAAACACAAGGTCTCGTGCTCAAGCACCAAAAATCTAGTGCCAGCACAACAGGAATACCAAAAGGTGCTTGGGGAATGAATGCTGCCAAAACAGAAGCAAGTAGTAGCTGGTGACATTTCACGTCACATGCATTGATAGGGACAGAGTCAAGACTAAAGCCTTTGCTTCCTTACACCTAGATCATGTCCAATTTAGTTCTAACTTACTGGTTTTTCTGCAGCTTTTCTGAAAATTTTGCGATTATGGAACTCATTCATATTTATTGTGAAATATAAAAATAAGGTATAGTGTATATAAGAAATATAATATCCCAAAATGCAAAGACTCAAATATAAATTATTAATTTATTGATGCCTTTTCTGTGTGTGTGTGTATGTGTATTTAATTAAGGTCATAAACTATACATTAGATATTGTTTTCTGGCATAAACAATTATTGATGCCATTAATTGTGAAATAGGAAACAGTGGATAGGAACGCTTTGGAGACAGATATTAAATTTGCATCTTCTAAATGACATCTAACTAAGGGTAGTCAGTAGATTATGCATTTTCTCAAGTAACTCTCAGCAATTGCAAGTAGGAAAAGAAAAGAGAAAAAGTGGAACTAGCTGAGAGGCAGCATTCCTCAGGCAGGCAGGACAGAAACGCCCAGCAAAGCAGCCCTCCAGGCTGAGCGCTTCTGGACACTATACTCAGGACGAGAACGGCAAAACCAGGGAGGCTTGTGAAGATGAGGGAATAAATGTGTGAAGGGACTTTGGTTTGGTAGAAATGAAGATAGAAAAGAGATACAGTAGAAATCCATATGAAGAAGACAAAAATTGAGTAAGTACACATCAAGGAACAGACAGCAAATTAGAAATAAAGTGATGAGAATAATGTCCACAAGTCCAAGGGAGGAGATGATGATGGTAAGAAAGAAGTTTCAGCCAACAGTTCAATCAAGAAACACTTACTGAGATTTACCGTCTGCCAGGCACAGCGCTAAGATGCTGTAGAGCCGGTGTAAGGAGAGGAGACGTACGAAGAATAGAGTGACGCTCCCACTGTCAAGAAGCCCACTGCTCAGCACAGGCATAAGAAAGCACACCAATTACTGCTTCAAATCTAACCACCAGAAGCCTGATTAAGGCCCATAATTATAAGAGCCCTGAGTGAGGCACAAAATGAGATGCCAGAGCCAGTTGGGAAATTGGGAGATTTCACAGAGGAAGAGTGAAATAAACTTTGAAGAAGCAAATTGGACTCATTTATGTGCAGATTAGGAGACAAGAAAGTAAACAGAGGGCTGGGCTGGTGGCTGAGAGGTTAAGTTCGAGCGCTCCACTTCAGCGGCTCTGGGTTTCACTGGTTAGGATCCCGGGCGTGGACCTGCACACCACTCGTCAGGCCATGCTGAGGAGGTGTCCCACACAGCACAACCAGAGGCACTCACAGCTAGAATATACAACTGTGTACTGGGGGGCTTTGGGGAGAAGAAGAAAAAGAAGAAAGAAGATTGGGAACAGGTGCCAAACTTTAAAAAAATGGAAGTAAACAGAAATGCCTTAGAAATGACTGAGAGTGAAAAGCAGGACCTGCCCAGAAGGCAGCAAGCGACGCAGGTGAGAGCACTGAGGGCAGCAGACATCGCAGTAAAGACCTCCTGAGACTGTGAATCACCGGGAGCAGCATTTCCTTTGCAGATCTTCGGTAGTTCAACATTTCTGTTATGTCAAAAGAGATACATGTATCTTCCTATCTGCTCGGCCTCCACCAGTGCTGAAATGTTTTCCTCCCTGATGTAATGAAGACATTGTTACTCACACACGAAAATAAATCAGCCACTATGGCGCTTACTGCTCAAGCACAGCTGATCACTTACAAAAGAATTTATAAGCACCTTCCCTACCATGTTTGGCAACAATCCACAAGACTAATATCATTTTATGCTTCAGGCTTTTTGCAAATATAAATACATTTTTCAGAGTAGGAACAATTTAAGAAACCACAGTGTTCCTGAGCTCATCGTTGGAAATGGTAATTAGCACATCGGTAAATTACCTGTAGAATTTTATTTCCATGAACAAGAAAATAATGTTATCTCGCTCAGTGCAGCAGGCTGAAGTGAATTATCACTTTCAGGAAAATGAAGCCTTATGATTATCCACCAAAGGTGCAAATTCATGATGATGATGTTGCTGTTCCAGCAACTCGCTATTCTGAAGTACAGAGTAACACTCACAGAATATTCTAAAGAAGTCCTTAAAATAGCTTGGGAGACAGTATGTCCTGTCCCATTTCCTTCCCTCTGAGATCAGGGTGCCAAACCTTTCACTATCTGCCTTCGTTTAGCTGGTGTCCTTAAATACTCCAAGAAAGGTCTTCAAATATATCTATAGCAAATTACTGTTGTACCATAAATTAGTTTTGCTAATCAAAAGTTCAAGAAGAAAGCTGGTTAAAAGGCTAATGAAGGGGCTGGCCCCGTGGCACAGTGGTTAAGTGCACACGTTCAGTTTGGATCCAGGGTGCGGACATGGCACCACTTGACAAGCCATGCTGTGGCTGGCATCCTACATATAAGGCAGAGGGAGATGGGCACGGGTGTTAGCTCAGTGCCAGTCTTCCTCAGCAAAAAGAGGAGGATTGGCAGCAGTTAGCCCAGGGCTAATCTTCCTCCAAAAAAAAAAAAAGGCTAATGAAGTAATACAGGCTATTATACATATATAATTGCCGTCTGCACAGTATTTACACATCACTTTAAATCTCAAAGTAGCTTTTAAAATTTAAAAAATATACCAGTTCCTTTATTTTTCATTGATCGTTTTATTTTTTTATTATTAAGCAGTTTATAGAAAAGAGATATGTAGTCTTTTTTCTGCTGAAAATTACTAAAGAGAAAATACATCTTATCAGACTGCTTCGAATTACCCATTTGGGAATCTTAAAAATCCCTGTGACTAATTGCTTTGCAAAAAAGAAATTGTGAAATAACAGAATTAAAGTGCTGAAGTGAGACCTTCTAAGTAACCTAACTTTTAAAAGCTGCTAAGCTGAAATCCACTCTGCAAGGATCCCAGCAAGTTCTTTACTCTCTGTTTCAACAGCTCCATTCACAGAGAACTTACTGCCTTCAATATAGAGGATTCTGTCTTTATACACCGGTGGCAGTCATTCTTCATATCCACCATCGTCTTTATCTACTCTACCAGTGTTACATGAGATAAAATCTGCTGTAAATTAGATTGCTTTACATAGTTTCAGCTAAAGATGATAGAGTAAGAGTTATTTAATCCTGGCCCCTCTCAGAAACCAACTAAAAGCAAAGAAAAAAATAATAAAAACAGAATTAAAGAGAACTGCATCTTTAATAAAAGTAGGAAATAGCTACTACCTCATACCATAAACTATGATGATACATATCAAATAAGGGGAATTTGGGCCAAATCATGAGAGGATGCAAAAAGTAAACATAGATTTCAGGCAGCAGTCTGAAGTCTTCAGAACTTGCTGGAATCTTCTTGAAGAATTCAGTGAAGGGTTATTCTGTAGAAAAGCAAAGTCTACAGGAGGGCTTGGGTCGTGAGAGCGACTGGTGCCCATTTAGTCCTGGAGAGAGCAGGAGAGGTGCAGCTTAGGAAGAGTTACCAAAGGCGCCACAATAGAGTTCAAAGGATGCGAGATGGAATGAAAAACTAAAGAAAACTTAAGCAATTCTTTGGAAAAAATGCAAAAAGCTATTGTATATCAGAGTTTCTTGGAAAAATGTGTTGGAAATAAGTGAATATTTGAAGAAGAAAGTATGAGTTCTAATAACATCTCTATACCTCTAACTTCTCAGACTAATAACAATGTCTTTAAAGGATTAGCTTATAAACAAAATTTTTGACCGGTCATACCCAAAGGTATTACTGTTTTAAATTTAGTTTATTTGTTTCTAAATAATCTCTATCAATCAAAAAAACAAAAAACAAAAGAGACTGATTCTGCTTATGAACTAGTGAAAAATCTAAAAGAAATATTTAAAATAAATCTAATGATGTATATGTTGATAAATGCCTTTAAGGATAAGTAGATAAAGCTTTGTAAGAATTTAAGTAGTAAGATTAAGCTTCTATTTTTAAAAGGCCAGAGTGAAGACAGGAATTTTCCTTATCTCCTCAAGAAATTACCATTAAGTGGTAAGAACAAGAATCAGAAGCAACAAAAGCCATAAAAAGGAATATACTCATTAAAGAAATATTTATCAAGTGACTAACATGTTCCAGAGATTTTGCCAAGTACCCTGAGTACAAAGGCAGATAAAATAAACATGACTTTTGTCCACATGGAACAAACAATCCATTGAGAGATTAAAATCTACCAATATGCTCCACCACTATATCTTTGAATAAGGAGAGCATTTCATGTTTTGCAAAATTGTACAATAAAAAGAAGAAATAACATAATTATAATAGAAATAATTTAAGGTCACTTCTAACTTGGCTATGACAAAATTATGTAAATAAATGTGACCATGTTGATTTGGACAGGATTAAATTAGTAGACTAGCATTTTTTAGATTTATTGTCACTTTCTTTTTATTTTTGCAAAATCTAACATTGGCATGTACTGTCTTACATTTAAAATAAAAGAAATGTATTGTTAAGATGCCAATTCCTTTCGATGAAAAATATTTGGCACTCATAAATATGACTGAGAGTATCAAGATGGTTTAGTTTAAAAAATAAAACAAAAAAACTATAGAATGTAATATTTTATTCTCAGTTGAATAAATACATAGGCAAAAAATATATTCATCACTTAAAAATAGTGATTATGAGCCTGCTGTGCATATTTTAAGTCCAGGGTTTTTACTTCTAAATTATCTCTTTCAATTGAGACAAAACAGACACAGTCTGTATATTACCTAATAAGATATTTAACTATAAGGAACGATATAGTGATAAATGTATTTAAAAGCAGATGAAATACAGTAGAAATTTAAATAGTGAAATTAAATTTATACCTTTAAAAGCTGAGATTGAAGAATTTTCTCCATTTCCTCAGTAGTAATTATCATTAAATAACAAGACCAAGAATCAGAAGAACAACTCCATCCTTTAGCTCTCAGACGAAGCTCACAGAGCACCTTGCTCCTGAGTGGCAGCCCTGAGGGAAAAGCCAATAATTTCTCTTCGGAACATGAGAAACAAGTACAAAGGCTGGCTAAGAAAGAGAATCTCTCTGTGCCCAGTTCGGCATGAGATCTTGAGAGGCAGAAATAAGTGGGGCTGTATGCAATATTAAATTATTTTAAAACACATCTCTTCACGAAGCAGTCTGTTGGTGAAGCTGAAAGAGGAGAAAGGCTGCATTGAGAAACTTAACCCTCCATATTCAGACACAGCAGGCCTGTTATTCTGGTTGGCCTGAGATACAGCTCTGGCCCCACTGTATCCCCATGAATCATTACAGATAGCTGATCTAGGGCGAACTCATCATGAATGAGTAAAAATTTAAAAATAGCCATCATAGGACGTATCCAAGGATATTACAAGCAAAAAGTCAAAAAGGTATGAGGAAAAACAAACCATAGTTTAAGAGTACTTACTAGAAAAATATTGCCACAAAACAGACAAAAATTTTGATCAAATGTATTGCCACTATTAATAGTATAACGATGAAGAAGTATATACAAATCAAGAGTACAAAGTATCAATATAAAAATTTAGAAATGATGTGTCAAGACCTAAAATATGGTCAGATTTTTGCCTATTCTATATTGCTTGAGAAGAAAGCACACAATTTATATTAAGTTGTAAATTTCAACATATGTATGTAAGGTCTACCGTATTGATTATGTTGTACGCGTCTTCTAGATTTTTATTACGTTTTTTTCACTTGGACTGAGAATGGTATGTTAAATATCTCAACAATACAGTGTATCTGTACATTTCATTTTGCATCTCCTGTAGTTTCTGCTTCATGATGGATAATTGCTGTGAAATTAGGGATATTCATAGCTTTTCTATCTTCATTGTAATTTGTAAACCTTAGCGTCATTGGTGTCCTACCTACATACTTTTCCAGTCAGATTTTTTAACTTTGATACTCCTCTAACCCTATGCATCTGCCATACCAAATACCTTGCAGTTTCATTAATGTGCCATGCTCTGCATCCCCCTTGGTCTCCCCGGAACACTCCCATTAGTTCACCTGGCACTTCAACTTGTCCATCAAGACTTTGCTCAAGGTCCCTCCCTTCCTTTTTCTCTCACTAGAGCATATAAACATTTCTGTTGCAGTGTAAAAAAAATATAGGGCCAACTGTTATTTACCGTTTATGTCCTCTTCTGGACTGTGAACTTTTAAAGGGTAATGACTGTATTTATTATTTATCTCTATGTCCTCAGGACCAGGCATTTAGCCAAGGCTCAATAGAAGTTCATAATTCTAGGTTGTGTGCAGCATAAGGGCCTAGGACAAGGCATTCCTATGAAAAGCACAGGGCAAGGAGTCACTTGAGAGAAGCTAAGAAAAGTCATAGCCACAGCCAGATGAGACGAAATTAGGGGCAGGAAAATCAAAACATATTACTTGGCATAATACTTATGTAAATAAAATAGAGTTTAAGAGGATTGATAGCTCCCAGGAGTGTGGCATATAGATGTACAGAAGCCCATCTCAGAGAGTGGAATCTGGAAAGGTGTAGTAAGCAGAATTCTAAGATGACAAGAACCCACTCCCTGGTATACACACATCTTCTTTGGGTTATTTAATCAAACATTAATCAGGGTACTTCTAGGATTTTGCTGATATAATTAGACCCCAAATCAGTGGACTTTAACCAGGTCGACTTAGTGGAACTGACCTAATCATGTGAGTCTTAAAAGGGACTGGATTCTCCTTGGCAAAAGAAGTTTGAAGTGTGAGAGGAATTCCGCACAAGGAAAATTCTCCATTTCTGGCTTTGAAGATGGAGAGGAAGTAAGGAGAGACTGAGAGTGGCCTTTTCCAGTTGAGACAGGCTCTAGATGACAACCAGCAAGGGAACAGGAGCTTCAGTCCTGCAACCGTGAAAGAACTGAGACCCAAACACCTAAATGAACTTGGGATAGAACCTTGAGCTACAGACGTGTAAACACATCCTGAAGACAGCTTGACCTCTGATTTGTGAGACCCTGAGAGGGAAATCCAGTTATTCTGTGTCCATATTTCCGACTTGCAGAATTGTGAGCTACTAAATACGTACTGTTTTGAACTAATTTTGTGGCAGAACACTGTGCAACAAGAGAAGATGAATATAACAGGTCGCTAATTTTATACCCCAGCATCTTCCTAATGTGCTTAGTCAGGATTGTGTTAACAGCTATGGATGGGACTTAGCCTCTAGCTTGCAGATCTTTAACACCTACAACTGGACAAGGTTTAAGAGGCGCTTTAGCAAGACTTCTAGAGACAATGTTCCCCTGAGGCTCAGTCCTCATGATAGAATCCAATCTCTTACTGTAGAAGGAAATGTCTGCCACCACCTGTGACCTGCAACCAAATCTTCTCCTATTAACTTTTGAAACTACTTGGTTTGTACTCAAATCCCATTCTATATTTTTAGTGGCTGAATGATCTTGGGCAAGATGTTTCAACGAATAAGGCCTCTATTTTCTCATCTGTAAAATGGGGATTGGAGTAGCTATTTCATAAGGTTATTACGAGGATTAAATGAGATAATGCCTTTAAGCTTTTAGTGCATTTCCTAGAATTTAGTAAACACTCATAAGGGCTATCTAATATTAATTCACTATCCCACCCAGATAAATTTTTTTCCTTCTCTAATGTTCTTTTCTGGTTTAAAAACACAACTTGTGCATAATAGCCAAGAATAAATACCCATGTGTTCAAGATACAATGCACAAAAGTTTGTAAATAATGTGTGTCTGTAAATGTTAGAATATAAATGCAAATAAACACTTATCTGGCTTCAAAACCAGATCTATTTAGGTAAGCAGACGACAGTTAAATGACTGAGATTGTGTCCATTTTACCAATACATTTTATAATGTGCTGTCACATTATAACAACACCTGCTACTGATTTCTGAAAAAAAGTTGTTTATTTATGCTTTAATTAGGTTAGGCAGACAAATATTGCCATGTTGCTACCCATAATACATTCTACAATTACTTAGTATTTCTAGCAAAACATTTTCATTTTTAGAAATTCAATAGTAAAACTTCACTCAAAAATTCTACCAGGTATCCTACTTAATACATGGTTAGTTACTCCGTGTGAAGACAACATGAAAAGCCATTGCCCTGCCCTAAAACTCAGGAGATATTGGGATAATGGAGACTAATTAGAAAGCTTTTGCAACAATTACTAAAGGAAGCAATAAGGGATGAACCCAGGAAGGCTGAACTGAAGAGAAAAGGGAGATGCTGATGAGAAAGGATTGCTAAGATACATCAAGAGCATTTGGAAATCGATTGGGTGTGGAGAATGAGGAAGAACGAGGAAGGAAAACGCCTTCCTTCTTTTCTTAATGCACGACCAATGAGTTAGCAGACCCCATCAAGTCCATCCCCACAACTCGGAAATCAGAGATAGAAGAGGAAGAACACAATCCCTTTAAGTTGGACAAACCCGAGTTTGAGCCTCAGTTCCAGCATTTGTGATCAACGTGACTGAGGGAAAAAGTCTTAATTTCCTTGAGATTTGATTTATTGATGGTAAAGTCATGATGATAACTGGATTTGATTGTCTCTATCTCTCTACTCCTTTGAAGCTCAAATGAAAACATGCAAAAAGCCCCCGTAGGTTTTTAGGAAGATGAGGATGTCATTAACTGCAGTAGTCATCTGAGGTGGAAAAGCAGATTCCTGGCAAGCTTTGAGGAAGGTGGGGTGTTCAGATCACGGCGTGTTATATTGAAGAAAGCAGCAGGATATGCAGGGTAAATATTAAAGAGGTCATTTAGAGATAACCCTGCAACTCAGGAAAACAATCCTGGCTAAGCAAAGGAACAAAGATACAAAAACAAAGAAACAAAAAACAATTTGAGAATCATCGGTGTAACACTGATGGTTGAAACGATGAGAGTATATGAGATGGTCAAAGACATTTAAAGGATTTGTCATAGATTTAAAAAGGAGAATACTGCAATGACTATTTGTTCACTCATTAACTCTTTCATTCATTTATTAATTAAAAAACATTGAACACCTACCACATGCTAAATACAGAGTTAAGCCCTGCCTACACAAACTTGATTAGAACACATTCCTTGCCCTCAAGAAGCTCATCTTTTAAAGGCAGAATCACACTTGAGCACAAATAATTTTGATTTAATAACAAGTAACAGGGCCTAGAGGCTCTGCTCCTGACACTTTCTTGGAGGCATGGGAGGTCGTCTCAAAGATTCATAGAGTTAAGCTGATGCTTGGGCAATTGAGAAATAATTAAGCAGATAAAGAGGTAAAAGGCATGCACAGAAGGTGGATTAATTCCTGCACACACACTCGCATGCCCACACAGACTTAAAAGCCCATGAGGTGTCCAGCAAATTGTGCAACGTGGCTAGAGTCCAGGGTAGTGGGGGAGGAAACTAGAGGCAGGAGGGAGGTACATCGTGAAGAGCAGATTCTTAAGGAATTCAGTTGCTTTTTTTCTGTAATGAGCAGCCATTAAAGAACAGAGTATCTACAGAAAGGTGGATGCAGTTAAAGTAAACTCTATATTTTAAATCAAACAATTAACTTTACCAGAATTCACCATGGTGATGAATATCTTATGTCATGAAAGGCATAAAAGAGAAAAAAAACAGCTGAAATGATTTTGACAACTGATGTAATATTTTGTGTTTAAAAAAAACCTGAATCTGTGGCAGGTCGCAAAAATAACAACACGGTGGCTCCCATCAAAAAGTGAAGTCTATTCTCCACCCCTTGAATCTGGAATGACCTTGTCACTTTTGCATTGGCCATGAAAATGTGGAGGAAACAGTTTCATGGGAATGTCATCCTGTCCCCTTTGCACACTTCCACCATCTCTTGGAACCCTGCTACCACTTTGGGGGCAAGTCCAGGCTGGCCTGCTGGGGGGTGAGGGACATGTGGGGCAGACAAGAGCTGAAGCCACCTTGGGCCAACCAGCCTCTAGATGCCCTGGCCACTGACCACAGTCATATGAATGAGCCTAGCCAAGACCAGACGGTCCAGCTAAACCCAGCCCAAACCACTGATCTGCAGAATCATGGGCAAAATAAAGGATGTTATTTTAAGTCACTAAATTTTGGAGTAATTTGTTATACAACAAAGAAAACAGAGATACACCCAGCCAATTACATGGCAGCAAATGCAATGTTTTCATAAACAAATTTCCCCATTTATTGGTCTTTCTATAACAAACTTGCACCACACCATTTGGTAGTCTATCTTCATATTCAGTTAGTTATTCATAT